AGGAAAAGCACAGTCATTGGGAAGGTTTAAGGTCAGCAGCAGGTACCTGGTATCCTGACAGTTTGGAAAGGGTCCTTCTAGAACAAAGGAATCCTATGGGTTAATGCACTGGACTTCAGAGTCATTTGAATTGCAAGGTCGGTGGTTCAAGCTCACCAGTCACTCCTCGGAAACCCTATACAGGGTCACTATGGGTTGGAACCATCTCGACGGCACTTAACAACGACTAGAACAAAAGGAGGATGTGCAGCAGAGAAGTGTGTGGCCCCAGCCATGACGTCAGGGCCGGGAAAGAGCTGAGGTTGGTTCGCCTCTACCTGGTACAGTGGGAAGGCTGCAGTGTGGATGCTTTCAATCAGCAGGCGGGTAATGCCCATCTCTGCATGTTTCTGCTTCCCAGTGACTGTGTGAGCCAGGACCTCTGCCACCTGCTACGGACAGTCTTGGAGTCAGCTCAGCCCTCTTGCAGTCCCAGATGGACCCTCTCCAGGTAGCTATCTCACCACTTGGAGCTTTTGTGTTGGAAAAGTAGGAGCCATGGAAGTTCCTGCCCCGGAATCTGTGCGAAGCTGAGCCTCTGCCCACTGTAAAACCGAATACAACGGGAGCCTAGTCTCTTGGCTAGAGGCCAGGGGGTGAGCCATGCCAGCTGCTAATGCCCGAGGACTCATCAGCCCACAAAGCTCAGCCTGGGCTGTGTGTGTTCTAGCCAGGCGAGCACCTGAGAGCTTGAGCGGGTGAGAATCCGAGATCTGAGCTAGCTAGGACACGACCTGGACCCCAGGCTGCAGAAAGGCAAAGGCTAGAAACCTAGAATAAATTAGGCTGGAGTTGCCACCATGGCAAGCAGAGGGCTGGGCTAAACCTGCGGTTGGCTCAGGCAGGCCCCGCCTGGCTTCACCTGTGGAGGAAGGTGCTTGTGCAGAAATTCAGCGGTTTGTTGAGCACATGCTGAGGAATGCGCAGGCTCAGAAGATGGCGCAAGGCGCAGAAGATTATGCAGACGTGGGCACCTCAGCACATCTGCCAAACCGGGTAGGTACCAGCCTGGAGGGCAAAAGCAGGGTTTTTGGCGCCAGTCGAGACTTGGCCTGAGGGTGACCCCGCCCCGCCCCACCATAGTAGCGTGGTGTGCAGGCTCAGTTCCTCAGAGTGAACCCAGAGGCAGTTCGCAGGGCGAGCTCAGCTTGGCTAAGTGCATGTTTCAGGTGCTGCCCTTGGCTGGGATGCCTTTCGCCGGGGCCAGAATCTCAGGCCAGAATCTCGGGGGGCTGGGGTGGGGAGGCAGACCCAGAGCCCCTTCCCTGTAATACTGTTTGGATACTGGTTGGTCTCCCCGGGCCGGGCCGTGGTGACTGTGTGGCTTTCAAAAGCAGTTTCCCAGGCGTCTTCTTGTTTGAAATTCAACCCATGAGGGAGCTAACCCCCCTCTACCATTTACAAATGTCGAGACAGACCCTGAGTGGCCCGGAGTTACTCAGCAGTGCCTGTTGGTCCCATTTTTGGGGCAACTACAATATGCCAGGCCCTGGCCTGAGTGCTGTACACACACACTTCGCCCATTAATCATCACAGCAACTCTATGAGATGAGCCCATTTTAGAGATGAACTACTCAAGTCCCTAGCTGAGCTCACAGAGCTACTCTGGGAAGCTGCGCTCCAAGTCAAAATGGAACCAGGGCAGCCTGCTCCCATCACACTCACCTCCGCCAGGCACGCAAAGCGCGTGGGGAGGCCACACTTTCTCCTCCCAGGCGTACATTGAAGTCTATCCCACAGTGGTGGTTGAGGGAGCTTAGGCATGGTCTGCGCCATCCTGTCCTACTTCCAACTTGAATGGGGAGTGTGGGATTGGGTTTACTGGGTGGGCTAAGGCCTGAATCAAAGAAATAGATAAGGGATGTGATTCCTCTGGGAAGGGAAGAGGACATTTAAGAAAGGTACTGTGGGTTAGCTTAACTGACCCAAGTATCATCAAACTTGGTTTTCTTGTCGCAGAAAAGCAGCTCCTGAAGTCAGGGGCACTGATGCTGCTGTGGGGTTCACAGAGAGTTTTGTCATCTGGGTACCCATCCAGACAGTGCTGGTGCCATCTGGACCTCCCCTTCCTCCGTGCTCACCAGCCTGCCCATCCCTCTCCCCTCCATTCATTATCAGCTCAGGAACAACTATTATTACCATAACAACACGGACAAATAATAGCAAACATATTTGTGTGCTTACCACGGTGCTGCTAAACATTTCAAATGCATTTACTTCTCTTAACCCTGAGAAGCTCCATTTTACAGATAACTGAGCCCGAGGGAGTGAAATAGTTCTCTCTTCTGGACTGGATCCTCCAGCCTTAGGTTGTCTCCCTTGACCCCAGCATCCACTCCTTCTATCTAGAATGTTGTTGTTGTTAAGTACCATGGAGCGACCCTGTACAGGGTTTCCGAGGCTGTAAATCTTTACCGGAGCAGAATGCCTCATCTTTCTCCTGTGGAACAACTGGTAGTTTCAAACTGCTGACCTTGAGGTTGGCAGCCTGACTCGTAACCACTACGCTACCAGAGCTCCTTGGAGCGGAACAATAGCTCCTCAGACTGTCCTAGTCTTGAATCCAAGGTCATAGGGAAGGTCACTCCCCATCCCTGCCTGGTCCTCTGGAGATTTGTGTTCACACACTTCCAATCTGTCCTGAGCACCTTACTTTCCTATCTAGGCCCCCTCTTCCTCACTTCAGTCTGAGCCTGGCATGTGGGGGTCACAGCTGGCCCTAGGCTGCCCAGAGAGTTTGTGTGTGTGGTCCTGGATAAGCCAAGGAAGCCCCACCCCCACCCCTGAACTCACTCCAGGCTTCTGTGGCAGGTCTGGCTCCTACACCCCTTTCCTCATTCTGGGGCCACAAGTTGCTTAGCATCCTCCCTGTTGTCCACAGGCCAGGTTGGGCTGGTCACTGGCAGAAGCTTCAGTTACCAGCTCAGCCTGGCCCTCAGAATAGTGAGGGGAGGAGAAAGAGGAAAGACGGTGGTCCCTGAGGGGCTGGACCCAGAAGACTGCATTAGAGACTGAAGGGAAGGATAGACCAGGTGTGGGCAGAGGGCTAAGAGCACTAAAGGCTAAGGTTGTCCTGGCTCTGCAGTCTTGGGCAAGTACCTATCCCTCTCTGGGCCTCCCACTGAGGGTATAATCACCACCCCTGCTTTCCTAGGACCCTATGGAGGGAACAAGGAAAGTCTTTGAGAACTGTTGAGGGGACTTAACTGAAGGGTGGGATTTCTAGCACCATAATGGGAAGGAGACTTCGGGACCTTTTTACTGACCCTCCACAGAGACTGTCTCTGCCTGCAAGTCTGGAGGAAGCCAGCTTGAGTCTCTTCTCTGGACCACACAGGACTGGTTACATACTTTTGGGGGTGCAGGACAAAATGACAATCCAGGATCCTGTTCCAATATTATTAAGAGTTTCACGATGACAAAGGCAGAGCATGAAACCAGCCCCTTCTGCGTGCCCTCTGCCCCATAGCTCACATGCCTAGGGCACTGGCTCTGCATATACACACACATAAGGACACAAGCCTGGTACACACAGACCTCACTCTCAACACGATCCTTCGACCCTTCGCAAAGATCACCCAGAGGGCCCCAGCAATCAGTTACTGGAATTGCATCTCTTAACTCCCTGCTCCCTCCAGGCCCCTGGGACAGGATAGAGAGGACTACTGAATATTAAAGTAGAACTTTAATATTCAGTGCCCACCCCTATACCTTGTTCTCACCCACAGAGAATGGTTTACCTCTCCTCTTGGTTTGAGATGACCGTGGGTTCTCCCACCAGAGTGACACAAACCAGGGGAATGCAGGCTGGCCCTGTATTGGGAAGGTTTGGGCTATTTCTCTGGAGCAGCCTTGTGAATCGGGGCTGAGCTGGTACCCAAGAAGGTTGGGTTAAGCTTCCTTCCCAGGAAATTATAAGCCCAGAGATCATTGGCTGGGATGGGAGGTAGCTGGTGCTTCAGTCTGGCTAGGAGGTCAAAGTACAAAGCTCCCTAGAACTCACTTTTTTTTTTTGTTTAGATCTCCCTTCTTGAGCTCGCCTCCACCAGTGTCTCTGGATAATGGAGCAGGGAAACTTGGGGCTGGGCCAGCTCATGGACTGGTCCTCGCTGGCCTCCTATTGGGCAGAGCTGGTTCATGCTCTGACCTGGTCTGTAGTCCATGTGTCTGCCCAGTGCTACTCTCTGCTTCCCCAGGCTGGCCAGACCTCCATCCTAAGCTTGGTCTGCGGGCTTCCTGATCAAGAAGGACACTGCAGAGTGTGGGGCTGGCCTCCTGGACACACAGCTGTCCTGCAGCTCTGTGTAACCACATGACTGGGTGCTGGACAAGGAACTATGGGAAGAAATCCTGGATGCGCCCCTAGGCCTGGTCCTTAGGAACCTCCTGATGACCTTCCACAGGTTCATTCTGTCAGATGACTGGACGCTGATGCCGCATGTAGCAGAGGTCAGAGCCTGGGTCTCTGAGGGAGATCAGCACCCCACCCCAAAGATCACCTCCTTTTGGAGTTAACACGAGCAAGAAAGAAAAGTCTACAGAGTTAAGTCCCTGAGATTTTTGGGTGTATCTGTCAGTGCGGTGCTGCGTCAACTAGTCCAGACTCTTGACTGAAGTCACTTGAGGCCCCGGGCCATGCTCAGACACCCTCTCCCCATCAGAGTCCATGGGTGCGCAGGACATGGGGTCCTCCATGCAGCTCTTCCTTTTCCAGAAGTCTTGACCCCAGGGCATAGAGTAGTCAGAGAGTACACAGAGGCCCTCCACACTGCCACAAAGTCTTCAAGGAAAGTATTGTGGAGGCAGGGGCCTTCCTAGGCCCCATCCTCCCTGACCAGCCCCTCTGGCCAGGCCTTGGGATGGGATCAACAGCTTTGCCTCAGTGAGCCTCGGGCCCTGGGTTCTCCTCTGTCCTGGTCACCTAAGGGTCAGGGTGGGGATCACACAGCTGCCAGCACTCCTTAGTCAGGGGTGTTTTCTGGAGGCCTGGGGAGCAGGCCAGCTGCCACCTGGTCCTGGTACCACAGCTGCTCAGCTAGGCCGTTGAGCACGTGAGCAATGTCAGCTAGCCCTGCCCGTCCGTCCAGCGTGTGCCCATCAGCCAGCCGCCGGCCCGGCACACTCTTCACTCGCAGGAGGGGCAGTTCCCAGGCCTGCCGGAAGGCTGTGAGGTCCCGCTCGGGCACGTCCGTGTGCATGTACTGATCAAATCTGGAGGACTGTCAAGGAGTCTCGCCAGGTACCTCTGCTCCCGGCCTCATCACAACCAGCCTCTTCCCTCCTCCTTGGAGCCCCATTCCTAGGATCTGGGGGATACCACCCTACCTCCTTTAAGAGAAAGCCCATAAGCTAGAGCCCACACCATGCAGAGTAGGGTCCCTGACCCCATTACACCACACCTTACCAAGTAGCCTCTGACAATCCCGGGGACCACCCAAAGGATACTTGGAGCCAATGACAATCCTGACGGCACCAGGGGCCTCGCCTGCTACTCGGGCCAGCTGTCCAGGAAGGTCTTCGAAGGAGGCACGGTCAGTAAAGGAGAAGAGGAAGAGGAAAGCATCTGCCTTCTCTTGGCAAGCCTGGGGAGGGAGAGGCTGACACAGGTCCAGGACCAGGACTGAGCCTCCTGTTGGTGTCCAACACAATCTGTCCTTGCACAGATGGGTAAACTGAGGCCTAGAGCTGGGGAGCTGGGCTGGGACCCAGAGTCCTATGGCCCAGGGCAGTGCCCTCAGCCCATTTGTTCACTGCATCCAGCTCCTGCACCTCAGGCAGGCTCAGCCCAGACATCTGCTCTCAGAAGTCCACCACAGATAACCTGTCCCACCCTGGATCCCACCCAGGCCCATCCGTCTGCTCACCGGCAGCATGTGGTCAAACTTTTTGAGTGCAGACTCCCCGCAATCCCAGAATTCAAAGCGGAACATGACGACACGGTTGCTAGCCTGCAGCTTGGCCGGCCAAAACACCACGGTGGTCTGGATGCCTGGGAAGGGCCCGGATCACCCACCAGCGTTGGGGAGGCAGAGTGAAGAGAGGCCAAGGGCCAGGAAGGAACAGGAAAAAGAGAGGGTATATCTGTCCCAGTGGGCTCCAGTCTGATGGGAAGGCACAGTCCCAGTCTACTGGAGGAAGCACAGTCTGCCTGCCCCGGAAGAGCCGGGTATGATGGAGAAGGGAAGGCACGCCCCCTGGTCATAGAGAATTCCTTATGTTTTAGGGCGTGTGTGTAGGGAGATAGAGATCTGGCTCAGAGGAGCCTTCAGTCTGTCAGAGAGATGCAGCCCCAGCCCTAGCCATGACAAAGCCATTCCCTTGTTCCACCCCAGTACTCGTGTCAGGTTGCTGTGGAGCTGATTCTGAATCATGGTAACCCCATGTGTGTCAGAGGAGAATGGTGGGGTTCTACTCCATAGGGTCTTTATTGACTGATTTGTTGGAAAGAAGATTACCTGGTCTTTCTTCTAAGACATTTCTGGGTAGATTTGAACTGTCAACCTTTTGGTCACCAGTTCAACACTTTAACCTTTATATCACCCAGGGGTTCCGAGGTTTGGGGGCCCTAGCCAGTGGGGAGGGGGCTGCAACCTGATGCATCAGTCATCATTCAGTGGAAGGAGAAAAAAAAAAAAAGGAAGAGTCGCATTTCCTAAGCACAGAGCGGGCGCCAGCTCGAAGCCAGTTACCACCATATCGCTAGTACCTATCTTACAACAAGCCCTTGGGCTAGTATACTATCATCCCCATTGGTAGACTCAGCAAGGTGGAAGAACGTCCTAAGGTTACAAAGGAAGTGGGGGGCGGGCAGGGTATGAACTGGTCTGTAGGCTCTGAGACCAAGCCTCTTCCGCTGCTCCCGGGAAGGCAGAGTCCAGGAGGCTGGCAGGGTTGGGACTCACTCACCAGTAGTCTCATGGTGTACCACAGGCACCTCCAGGCCAGCTAGCTTGGCCACCAGCGCCGTCTTGCCCACTCCACTCTTCCCAGACACAAAGATCTTGTAGCTGGCAGTGTCAATGGCGACAGAAGGGGACAGCATTGGTCTCTCCAGCAGCCCTGGAGCAAGAGAAAACCAGCATGGTCAAGGGGTCAGTCAGCCCTGCACTGGCTCCCTCATAGCCTGGGTTGGGCTTTTCCGGAGCTAACCATCCATGGTTCTGGGTACTGGTGTAATTTTAAAAGCTGGCTGTGATGCCAAAGATTGTCAGTTGTATTTATTTTTCAGCTTGGGTGACTCACTCAGGTGGGGATATTCACCTATTAACAAACCCCCCAAATATCTGCCGATTAGTGAAACACTACAAAAATTCAAAGTCATCACTAAAAACCTGATGTTGTTAGGTCAATTCCAACTCATGGAGACTCATGTGTGTGGGAGTAAAACTGTGCTCCATAAGGGTTTTCTGTGGCTGATTTTTCACAGTAGATCACCAGGCCTTTCTTCTGCAGTGTCAGTGGGTGGATCAGAACCAGTAACCTTTTGGTTAGTAGCCAAGTGTTAACCGTTTGTTCCACCCCAGTACTCGTGAAATGCCTTATTGGTCAATGTGTGCTAAGTGAATATTGACTCATAATGACCCCAGACAGAGTAGAATTGCCATAGGGTTTCCTAGACAGTAATCTTTAAGGGACACCACTTGTCTGTCAGTTTGTCGTACTGCGGTGGCTTGAGTGTTGCTGTGACTCTGGAAGCTATGCCATGGGAGTTTTAAATATCAGCAGGGTCACACATGGTAGACAGGTTTCAGCTCAGTTTCCAGACAAAGACAGACTAGGAAGAAGGAGAGACAGACTACTTCTGAATATTTAGTCACTGAAAACCTTATGAAGAGCAGAGGAACGCTGTCGGCACCACATTACTGAGTACTGAAACATGATAAAGAGCACCAGAATATTGTCGGATAGAGTGCCAGATGATGAGCCCCTCAGGTTGGAAGACACTCAGAATGTGACTGGGGAAGAGCGGCCTCCTCAAAGTAGAGTTGATCATGATGACGTGAATGGAGTAAAGCCTGTGGGACCTTCATTTGCTGATGGGGCACAACTCAAAAGTAAGAGAAACAGCTGTAAATTACCTTATTAATAATCAGAATGTGGAATGTACCAAGGAAAACTAGAAATTGTCAAAAAAGAAATATAAAGCATAACATCAATACCCTAGGCATTAGTAAGCTGAAATAGACTGGTATTGGCCATTCTGAATCTCTCAATCACATGGTTTACTGTGCTGCGTATGACAAATTGAAGAGGAATGGCATCACATTCATCATCAAAAAGAACTTATCAAGGTCAGTCATGAAGTACAATGCTGTCTGTGATAGGATATTATCCATATGCCTACAAGGAAGACCAGTTAATACCATTATTATTCAAATTTACATTGTTGTTGTTGTCAGGTGCCA